TATACCCAACCACATGTTCGCGGCCTCACATGCAGGTCTGCGTGTTCTATTACAGTTCTGTGCCTCTGTTGGAATGCGTTATGTTCCACAATGCCATTTGGCGGGCTGTTTGTTTATTTCTTTTCGTGTCGAATGTATCGATACCTGAGTGTGCCACTGGCTCACAGGTTCCGTTGAGATCGGCTCCTCCAGTTCATTACTGATCCCGGGGGACGACAATATACCCTCGTCCTTGGTCAGTAGATAAAAAAAGCAAGACGGCGTCCTATGTTTCATCTGTTTTGGGGGTGGGTGGGCAAGGCTCGAGAAGGCCGAGGCGGGAACGGTACGGAGAGTCAGGTGTATGTATATACCTACGCGTTGGTCAATGGGACGGCGATGCGGGCATCTAGGGTGCATGCTGTGTGGTCCATTGCTGTACTCCGGGAAGAAAAAAAAATTATATAGGGAAACTCTGTGGCAGGTTCAATGACTGATGGAGATTACGGATCATCCCTCTCCTATTTGGTCAGGTGGGGGATACCGAAGGGAAACCAGCGTTTGAAGTTGTTTTCCCAGAGACGAGCTTATGCCTCTCCCTGGAGGCGAGTGGCTATGGAAGCTACCAATCACAATCTCTTCCCAGGCGGGATGAGGAATAACTGCGAATATCAGTTCTGTTGCAATATCATAAACTTGGACCGACTCATTGTATGAATGAATGGCGAAGACGAAAAGTTAAGGTTGACATGCGTTAACGAGGAGGCTTGACTTGATGCGCCGCTTGGCCAAGGTTCCATGGCTGGACTCCAAGTGGATACTCGGCCGAAATACACTAGATCCAAACGAGGCTAGCGTATCTTATCGCCGCGACCCTCGACACGGTCATCCCAAAATTTCTCGTTCGCCCATGGAAATCTCAATCTGCACACCACATCATCTCGCCCTTCACCCTTTCCGTCTCTCCCTCTTAATTTATCAATCCGTCTACCAGTCTCCCATCACATTACTCCAATATGTAAGTTCTCTGTTACAGATTGTTCCGGCAATGTTGCACTTGGCAGCGATTCCATGATGGAAGAAAGCTAATTGCAATCTTTCCCCTACGTCAGGCAGTCCATTCGTCGCACGGCCACTCGCGCCGCCTTCACCAGCTCGGTCACCGCCGCCGCTGCGCCCAAGTCCCAGACCGTTTCCTTTGCTCTGCGTGCCCTGAACGCCGCTGTCGCCGCCAGATCCTTCTCCGCCGCGGCGCCGAGAGCATTCTCCCGTTCCATTGCGTTCCGTGAAGATGACCAGGCCGAGGGAGCAATCCGCCGTCCCGAGCAGAGGGGCCGGAGACAGGAGCCCAGCGACAACGTCCTCTTTGTCCAGAACTACTCTTTCGATGTTAAGCCCGAGGAGCTGAGCGAGGCTTTCTCCAAGTACGGCGAGGTTGTCGGCGTTTCGATGCCTCCTAAGAAGAGGTATGTCTCAATAGCCTGGATCCCCCGACGCAGCTTCCGGCTTCATATCTTCCTTCCCCCTTGATGGTTCTGGCTTCCGTTCTGCAAGGATGAGGAGAGACACATGTGAATACTTTCCATCTATGATGACCAGGGGCTAACCTACGGGTCTTCTCTCTTTTAGCTACTGCTTTGTCTACTTCAAGGACCCCGAGTCCGTGAAGGAGGCTGCCGAGAACGTCGACGGAACCTTCTGGCACGGCCGCCGCATCGTCGCCAAGGCCCGCGACGCAAACGCAAGCAGGCCCGCCAGGGAAAGTCGCGGAAGAAACAACGACAACAGAGCGACCAGAAAGAGCGTCTACGACGGCCCTCCCACAGCGACCGTCTACGTCGGCAACATCTCCTTCGAGGCCTCGGATAAGGACATGAACGACCTCTTTGCCAACCTCGAGGGCGTCAAGGACGTCCGCGTCGCCGTGGACCGCGCGACGGGCTGGCCGCGCGGTTTCGCCCACGCCGACTTCCACTCCGTCGAGGCGGCGACGGCGGCCATGGAGGTCCTCAGCCAGACTGAGATTCACGGTCGCAAGCTGGCCACCGGGTACGCCCCCGGCTCCACCCCTCGTCGCCGCAGCGACAGGGACTCGTCCAAGGAGGTTGAGGAGCGCGTCGAGAGCGAGCACGCCCAGGCTGAGGAGGCGCAGAAGGAGACGAAGCCCGAGGCTGGCGTGCAGCAGAACAACTGGAATGCCTAAATTGCCTTTTTTGGGTGTTAGGTGTGTTGGCTGGCAAAGATGAACAAAAGATGTCGATGGCAACCCTTCTTGTGAGATCAAGAAGGCGTCGATGATTTTATGTTCGGTGGCCCAAGGCCTTCTCCAATGGCCTTTTGTACGAGATCTTCTGATGTGTTGTATTTTTTCTACTTTTTTGTGGTTTTTTCCTAGCGGGAAAAAAGCGTCAGGGATGACTGAAGAGAGAGCGTCCTAAGCTGCCTGGAGGGGGAAAAAAGATCTCGGAGCGGAAAAGGGGAAAGAAAAGTGTTTGCAGAAGAGATGGGACACATCTCCTTACGCAACGATGAATAACTTGAAAGCCGAACAAGGGCATTTGTATCATACGAACTCTAGAAAAGAAGGCCCTTTTCTTGCTTAGCATGGGCTTATCTTTGGGCATACATGGCATATCTTCATGTATAAAAAAAATGTAATATCTCTACTTCAGTTATGATTTGCTCCAAACCTTTTGACCTGCTTTGCTTTCAACTAACGTCTATTACCTTGTGCTGTCTCAAGCCTGCTCGAAAGTGATCATAGCCGTGTGTGAGCTCGCTATCTAATCGCCGGTGTCCATTTCACCTTAGCAAGGCTGTCTTCTCACCTTACTCACCTTACTCCGTACGGGCAGCACGGGATATCGGGACGAAGGACCGACGGAAACGTTCGGCATGGGAGCCCGGGCAGAACAGAACAGAACAGGAAGTGAGGGGGGAAAGCAAAGCACCGACCTTCTATCGGGGCCCGGAGCATTCTCATGTTCCATGAGGACCGGCCGGGCTATGGATCAGACGGGCCAGCTGTGACTCCTGAGATGTCTGTTGGATCCCGGCACCCGGCCAAGAGAGAAAGGAAAAAAAAAGGTCCCCGTTCTTTTTTCCCGTTCTTATGGAGAGGCTATATTTTGTCGCCATGACCTTGCTCATGCCCGACATGCTACTTCTTGGATGGATGACCTCTGTCCACGATGATCTGTCAAGCCCATCAACCCCCCCCCCCCCATGGGTACTGTCTTGAATCGGCATGAGTTTACACGGGGGGGGGGGGGGCCTCAAAGAGAAAACTTTCTCTGATGGGCAATGACGGACAACGGGGCTGGCCAAAGCTTCTTCTTGTCTCCTTGATTCTTTACCCTGTGGTTCCTGGATCGCCATCGGTCAAGGCGAATATGAGCAATCTATTTAGCCATTCTCGCAACACATGGCCCGCCCTGCGGACTGAACACCCCCACCCCCTCCGGTCTCCCGCTCCTGAAGGTCAGGTCTCTGAGAAGGATGATGATCTTTCTGCTTCCCTCCGGCCGTCAGACCCGCAAGGAGAGCAAACATGCCCCCGGTCCCCGGCCCCGGTTCCTGTTCCTGTTGTTCTCCACCTCCGACCCGAGTCAGTTTCTTTTCTCGCGAGAATTTAAGAGAAGGATGAATGAATGACAACGGAATACCCGCGCCCACCTTCCTTGTCACAACGGGGGACTCACGATCCTATGTACTGATTGATATCCGTACCCGTTCCTGACGTTCAGCCTTTTTTTTTTTTTTTTCGCACGTTCACTCCCCTTTTTCGCACTCCCCCTTCCCCTGAGCCCTGGGGTCTGGGGTCTGGGTTCTTGACTTCTTACCACCACCCTTTTCTCCCCCGCAATGTTTCTCCTTGATTGAACAACATGGGAGTCAAAGAGAAGGTCCGTCCAGCCCCCCTTCTAGAAAGGTTTCTCAGATAGGAAAAGGGGGGCGTGATCAGACAACATCACGGCATCGCCGTTGAAGAAGTAGCGAATATCTACATACGAAGTACTCTGTACCCGTCGCGAATACACGTATTATAGAGAAACTTTGATCGCGGCACGCTATAAACGCGCGAAGCTCTCTCGCGCCAAGGCCGTCCCATGTAGGCAGATGGGTTGATACCTTTTCGACGTCGGTGGGAAAAACGGTGGAAGACCCGCCTGTCCCGATACCTTCCCCCCACCCCTGGTTCAAGCTATCCGTACGGATGGATACCTTTTTCTAAAAAAAAAAATCCAACACACCGTTTTAGATTTTCTTCCGAATTCGTCGCGACAGATGATTCTGGTTGGTCAGAGACCCGGCCAGCCCACTCCCGACATGCGTTTTCCCACCAAACGCACCGGCGCCAAAAAGAAAAGAAAAAAATCGAGTCAAGGGGAAAAATCTGCACGCAAGCGCAAAAGAATTTGACCAGCCTGGGGGTCGAACCCAGAATCTCCTGATAACTGATTGAGTCGTAGTCAGACGCCTTGCCATTGGGCCAACCGGCCGATATCCTGTAGAGGATTCGAGCTTGCTTGCTTGGTGGTTGGGGCCGGAAGCTAGCTCATGAAGGGTGAGGCAGGAATTTTCGAGATCGTGATGTTGGATGAAGCTTGCCTTCACCAACGCCATGTCTTTCTGATAGAGAAATGTCGGAGTTACGCATGTATACTTGACAACCCTGATCATGATGATTATTGAAATTGAATAGTTCATACCTCTTGGATTTTCGAGGTCCTAGATTCTCGAACATCGCCGTCCATCGATGGGGAATTTCGCGGGCGCAATCTTTACTCCGGGCAGTGGAAACAAGAGAGGAATGAAAACGTCATCTTAGAACACAAACTCTAGATTATGCAAAAGCACATCGCTCTTTTCAGGCCAGAAAGACTATCCCTACGAAAGTCCCGTCATTTGGACTATTCATCAATGAACACACACGACTACACATGACGAAGAGAGTTCTTGACTTCAAATATGCTTACAATACCTAAGCAAAGATCAAGCTGGCCCCAGTAACTTACTGCCAACAGGTCGGCGTCACGATGGCCATCTTTTCTCACGTATCCCGTCTTCTCCACAGTGTGCTCGCGGCGGTCTATCTCTCTCGATAGTTTGGATGTGGCAAAGCTTGCGTCTGTGGCCCTGACAAGTCGGTGATGCTCTTGGCTGGCGAAGAGAACAGACAAAATGGACATGACACTGCAAGTACTATCCGTGATCGTATTCCAATGAACGTCACATATGAGTTTTCACACATTGCCAACCACCTTCATCTTTTCACCTCCCCTCTTCCAAGTGTCTCGCGCCTACGAGAAGAGCCTCACCACCCCATCAACATCAACATTCCCACCACTAACAACAAGCCCCAGATCCCACCCCTCCACACCACCCTCCCTCTCCACCACGCCCCGAAACTCCTCGTTATACAACGCAACAGCCAGCGGCACCGCCGCGCTCGGCTCGACCCACATCTTGAGCCTCTCCAGGAGCAGCCGCGTCGCCGACAGGATCTCCTCCTCGGTGACGGCGTACATGCCGCGCACCAAGCCCCGCTCGTAGATCAGGCCCCACGGCGTGGCGCTGACGGCGCCCGCGAGGCCGTCTGCCACCGTGTTGGGGGTTTGGTTGTGGGCGGTGATCCTCGCACCCGAGTAGAACCCCCTCCGCCCGTCGTCGGCGCCCTCGAACTCGGGCTCCGCGCCAAAGACTTTTATGCCGGTGCCTTCGCAGCTGAGGGCCGTGCCGGAGAGGAGGCCGCCGCCGCTGCAGGGCGCGATGATGGCGTCGAGACCTTTTCGTCGTCCTCCTCCCTCCTCGATGGAGTTCTGCTGCTGCTGCTGCTCCAAAACTTGCTCCTGGAACTCGAGTCCCGCCGTCGCTTGACCGAGGATGACGTCCGGGTGGTCGTGAGGCGGCACAAGCCTGGCGCCCGTCTCGGCGACGATCTCGGCCGCGACGGCCTCGCGGCCAGCGAATCCCGGCCCCGAGAAGACGACGATGGCGCCGTAGCCTTTCGTCGCTGCGATCTTGTTCGGGCGCGTCGTGGTCGGCATCACGATGCGAGAGGTGATGCCGTCTTCTGCGGCCGCTAGGGCGAGGGCTTGGGCGTGGTTACCTGTAAAGATGGACCGCTAGATCAGTAAAGCAGGAGATTAGAGGAGGAATCAAGGCGTTGAGGCTTTACCGGCGCTGTGCCCTACGACGCCCTTCTCCTTGCCGCCGCTCTCGAGCCATCCGGGCTCCTGTTGGAGTCTCTTTATGGCGTGGAAGGCCCCGCGGGCTTTGAAGGCGCCGGTGCGTTGCATGTTTTCGCATTTGAACCAGAGTCGGATGGTTGGTCTCGCGGGTGTACGACCGCCGATCGTGGCAGGGTCTCTTGGTGTTGATGCCATTCGGCTCAGTGTCTTGTTCGTCAATACGGGAGTTAGATGGATGTGTGACCTGATTAGTTGGCGGGCCTGGATGACCTCGTCCCTGGTCAGGGGGGGACAGGTTGAGAGGCTGGCCATGACTATGACAGCAGCTGAGATGAAGGTGGTTCTTTGTAATAGGATGGTAATGAGTACTGATTTTGGTTCTAGTGTGGGCTTGAGTCTGACTTCGGAATGATATCAAGATGCGCGAGCTTTGAGCCGCAGTGCTATTTAAGTGACATGCTCATCAAAAAGGCCATGGCTTTCGGAACTACATGATGGCAAAATGTCAACGACTATTATACTACAATTCAAATTAAGGTCATCAAGCTGCTTCGGGAAAGGAGCCCGGCGTCAACGTCGTTCTCACGGTGTTTACGACTTGGTTGGAAGTGGGACTCTCGGCAAGACTTACAACAGCGCCGAAATGCACTCGGCGAACTTGACAATGCCTCCGAGGTCGAGAGATCTGGCCTCGAACGAGATGACTCGTTTGCTTAGGAGAATTAGCGAGCAGTCTAATATCATATGCAAGAAGTCATGGCTAAGCTTCACCATCGGATCTGACTTCCGAGGCTTTGAACTCTCCTTGATCGATCATGTTGAGCACAGCGGAAAGGGCTTTTCCCCAGCCAATAAATTTCAACCATCTCCAGGGAAAGACTTTGGACCGTACATTCTAGCTATGTGCTACTGCCAACGCCCAGCAGACGCTTGTATAAGCCTACTATGCTGTGATTGACTTGCGCCGCCATAATGTGTATAATTGATGATTCTTGTGGTCGTCTACCGCGATTAAAGATCTTCATCGTTCTAGTTAACTAGCCAGGCAAAATTGACTAGGTGTAATACGACCCTGAAAGTGGTTACGTACGTGAGCGCCTGCCAGCTGTGATCGTGGTATATAGTTAAAATAGCCAAACCGTACAGTCAAAACAGCAGCACGTAATGCTTCCATGTCGTCACAGTGTTCAATAAACTGCCTTTGAAGCCGATGCAGTCACTTCCATTTGAAGACATGGCCAAGAACTTTGCAAGCCGACCTCTCAAGCAATGTTGTTCCCACGTACAGAGGAAAACCCGCGAGGACTATCTTACCACTACATAACGTTTGCAAGACTTTATGAAGCTTGTCGGCACGCTGATGAAGGGAGGTGCAGACATAATAATCGTCACGAACCGTCATCGTCGACACGTTCTCCCCGCAAAACGTGCAATCGGAGGTGGGGGAAAGGCTGTGTTGGTAGGCACAAGTAACATGGCTTTTAGTCATGGCTCTTGGGGAAAAAAAGGTAGGATCTTTCCTCTCTGACATGAAGCAGGTGCGTCAGGCATCACTAGGAAAATCAGGAAATAAAACAAAACAAAAAAAAAGTCTATTATCTTTTTCTCTTTCTGGCCCGAGATCTGATCAAGACTCATGGCTAGCCCGCCTCACAAGGCGAAGAAGGAGCTGTTTATAGACATCAACCGGAGGGAGGTGGGGGAGTGTGAAGCATCTTCAGCATCTTCCCGAATAACCCCCACGAATGCGACCCGAATCCCCCTATGCCGTAGCTTCAACGCCGAAAACTCCCAGATTCCCTAGTTTCGCATCTTGGTCTTTTTGATTTGCCATTGCTCTCTCGAACGAAAAAAAAAAAAAAAAAAAGTCGAGGCGTGAGGACTGATTGCCAGGTTTTCCCTTCCAGATACCCCTCACCTGAGTGTTGGTTGGATCATGTCCCCTTTTCCATAGGTTATGCTTGAGAAAAAAAAACGAAGTGAGAAACCCAACTTCTGTATCCAGAAAACCCCCTTTCTTGATTCTGCCTGGTACTTTTAGACCATGGCTCTATCATTGAATCCCGATTCGGGTACGTAAAATTTCGACTATGGTCGGCCGTGGAGAAGCGAATAGTCAGAAGAGAGGAGAAGGTCAGAGGAAAATCCAAATTCGAGGCTCGAGGCTCAGGGCGTCACCCTTTCTTGATAAGTCCTTGTATGTTTTACCACGCACGGGTTTCTTCTTGACCGTGTGGTATGTCGTGGCATAGTTTTATTTTGTGTCGTCTCGGGTTGACGCGTGGTGTATGGGCGAGATGTCCGAGTGCAGCGAAACGGGCCGGCGACAAGGCCTGTCGCGGATTTGATAGTAAAGGTTATGGTTATAGTGGTGGCTTGCCGGATGTAGTAGGCTTTTCCTGCATGATTGGGTCGGCGAGGTCGAATCGTAGTGGCGAGAAGCCATTGGCAAGAGGGAATGGCTTCAGGAGACCACCTCTGCCATTCGAGCTGAACGCAACGGTAGTAAATCATTGCAGCAGGTCCTTGACGTTTTCTTTCACATTGAGTGCCCACTTCAGCTTCGCCAACGTCGACCTCGTCTCCTCGAGCAACCTCTCCTGCTCGGCATCTCGCCCGGCGACGCCAGCCTTGATGTCCTTGAGCAAGAATTCCTGCTGCGCCTTGTACTCGTCAAACTTTTTCTGTATCTCCTCCTTTTGCCGCCTCAGCTCCTTAATATTGCCGTCCTGCTGGTCGCACAGGTCCCGCAGCGCCGCAATCTTTTCGTCGTCACGCCGCCGCTCCTCGACGACGCCCGCGATCTCGGACCGCAGCTTCAGGTGCGCGCGCTGCACTTCATCGCCCTGGTCCTTCCAGTGCGAGCTGATGGCGTTGTACCGGCCCTCCATGAGCGCGGCGTGGGTGTTTGCGTCCTCGACCTGCTTCGTTGTGCTGGCGCGCATCTTTTCCATCTCGTCGCGCCACAGGAGCTCTTTTTCTTTGGCGTCCGCCGTGCGCTTCTTTTCTAATTCCACGTTGGCGTGTAGGGTCTCGACCTGGCGCTCCTTGCGGCTGAGGAGCGTCTTGGTGACGCTCGCTTCGAGGAGGCGGCTCTCGTAGTCGCTGATGATGCGCTCCATCTTGTCCTCTACCAGCTTAGCGGCCTGCTTGGCCTCCTCGGCTCGTAACCGTTCGATCTGGATGTCACGCTTTAGGGCTTCGTTGTCGCTGACGAGCTTGTTGATGACCCGTCCCGTCTTTCCCAGACCCGCCTTGCCAATGGTCGAGTCCCAGCCCGGGCCTTGCCCTTCGGGTACGGGAGCGGCGTTTTCATCGTCGACGGGCGGTGTCTCCTCCCTCCTCGCTGAGTCTATTTTGATGGTGTTGTCGTTGCCGGCGTGAGGCCAGTCGTGTTTTAACTTGACGCCTGGCGTCCTTTCTTGGTGATTCGATGCCATGCTGACTGCGCTGGCGTTGCTGTTTACGGAACTGGAGAATGCGGAAGTGTGTGAGGGTGCGTCGGAGCTCGTGTCGCTCGCGGCTTCGAAGCTGGGTACTGTTCGGATGGTCTGGACCATCTTAGGGGCGCCTCGGGGAGAAGGGGAAGGGCTCGACGTCGACTGGTGGGTTCCGTCGATGCGCGTGTTCAAGCTACTGTTGCGTACGTTACGAGAGAAGTAGGAGGTGGTGGTAGGGGGAGCGAGTGTGCGTCGACTGCTCGAGGGACCATTTGGTGATGGCGTCGTCGTCGTCGTCGTTGTCGTCAGGGAAGAAGACGGTTTGGCGGAGGTTATTGAGGTAGAGGTGTGAAGGTCTTGAGGAGGTTCAAGGTCAGCACGACGGTCACCTTTCCCTCCGTAAGTTCCAGGAACGGCAGCGGAGCGGTATAGCGCCAGTGCCAAACTCCTGAAAGGTTTAGGTTGTCGGGAGAGGCTAGAGGCAGAATAGGGCGTGGAGTGGGCGGGTTGTGGATCGGGGCGAGGTTTCAAGCAAAGAGTGCACAAGGACGGGGACCCTTACCGAGAGCAAAGTCTTGTGGAGGAACATCAAAGTCGGGTACGGGTACCTGAGGAGGGTTGGATGGGAGCCGTTGCTTGTCGTGTTTATTGGGCTTTTGCAGTCGACTAGGCATGTCTCTTGCTCATGTTATTTCAGTCGTCGTCGTCTTGGGGTTGTTGACGGTGGTGGCCCAGGTAGGCTGGTCGACGGTCTGGTAGTTTGCAGATTGTTTAGTGTTTAGTGCTGGCGTGGTGGGTGGTTGCAGCAGAAAGTTGGGGGCGCGCGCGTCCGTCTTTTTTGGATTGGGCGTTGGTTGATTTTGGTTGCGGTCGAAAACGGCGGCCCGTCTGATGTCGGACCGGCGGCTGACGTGGGATTGGATGCGCGGGTTCGGTGGGTTTCTTTGGGGGGAAGAAGAGACTGAACTCGATATCCGTGAACGAGAGACAGACACACGCACTGCCTGGAATGGGCGGATGTCCGGGTCAAGCGTGGTGGATGTGGTGGTGGTCAATTACAGCTGGGAAGAAGCACGCGAAGCCCATGCGGCGAGGGCAATGCAAGGAAGAGAGAGAGAGAGAGACAGGCAGAAAATATGTAAAAAAAGATGGGACGGGAATCTCGGCCTTGGAATGACAAAAGGCTGGATTGGATCCAGAGTTATCCGTAAGGTCAGGTAGGTAAGGTGTTGTACAAGTATTACCTAGTCCTACGTCAGTCGGATAGTGGACAATCTTCCTCTGACAGGAGGTGGGAATGGAGGGTCGAGCGAGAAGGGAAAAGCCCAGATGAAAACTAAGCAAGAACGGCGGCCGAGACAAGCATAAGGCAGATCAGAGCGGGCATTTGGTAATTCCTAGGTCGGGTGCCTCAAGTACGTGCATGCTATTGTGTACGGAGTACGCAGTAATGATCAATTCGGCCAAGGGGACCCGCTGTGTGTGTCTTGTTCGCTACTTTGCATTGCTTTTCTTCGTCCGTCTTTGATACAACACAATATCAAATAACTTCCTTGCCTTACTTGGCCAGGCACATGAACAAAACATCAACACTGACAACGGAACATGCAACCATGAGGCAAAGCACACCACCAGCAGCAGAACACACCGCATCGAGGCACAACGCACAACACACCGGGCGCCGAACAAATCACAGCAAACGGGGGCCACCGGCAGACCGACATGACAACCTTGACGTGACCACTCATCCGCCCTGACTAACCAGTTGAAACCCCCACTAAAAAGCAGGAGAGCACCCTGTTCCCCAGCAACCCGGCTGCTGCGTCACTCAGCCTCTGTGCCTCTGCAGGAAAAGGTTGCATGGGGATGGCTCATGCACGGCCCCCCTATTATGTTGCTCTTTTTATGTGCATTTGGATATGTCTGCGTAAGTACCTAGGTAGGAACACTTATGTACTGTACGTAGACTAGTAGCCCCCTTAAGTCATCAGGTAAGGGGCAACGGCGCGTCTTGAAGCGAAAAACGACATCTCCATGATACAAATGCGCATAACATTAAATTTCCCTTCACCTCACACTCTAGGAATAGCCCCCCTTTCTCTTGAAGCAGCCTTACATGGCCACACGAAACACCACACACTTAGAATATGAGCCTGGATAATCGCATTGTGTGTGTAATGCGCCAACCTCCTTGAATGAACTCTACCTAGCAGACTTTCTCTCTTCCTTCGGTTTCCTACTACCAAGGATAGTCTTAAAGAAGATACCGTAAAGATGCACATCCAACTGCTAACAACCCCATCCCTCAACCCCCTTCGCTACCAGCAACCGTCTTATCCCGTCCCCAGCTCAAAAGCTCTTTAATCCCAGCGCAGATCTGAGCCGCATCTCACTGTCACTTTCACCTCGTCAAAGGGGAAAAAAAGACACCCCTATCCCAGTCACCAGCGACTGAGCCCAAATACACGATTTCTCCCCTATCCCCTGAACCGATCATCTCTAGGCCCCCTTTTCCCGGGCACCGTTCAAGGAACCCATTACTTTCACGCAAGGCTTATCAACTTTATCCTCCTTCCTCCCATAACTCTCGTCCCATCTTGAAACTGCCCCTCCGCCACACTTGGCCTGAAAGACTTGCTTGAACCCGCAGCCGGAAGAACACAATCACGACAAGGAAGACGACAGACACCATCTCAACTCAGCAAGAGAGGGCTTCGTCGGGTGTTCGGCCTCCATCCACAATTCGCCGTCTTTATAATTAGTACGCACTTCGGGGCAATTGGCTTTCTCGCGGCAGCTTACATGCGAGAACGACCACACACACACATACACATACACATCTACAACCTATGCACCTCAACATCGACATCGTTATCCGAAACAATAGACATGCTCGAAGACCTACTAAGATCCTACCTAGGTTGGACTAATGAAGTCGCTAATCGTACCTCGAAGCTCGTGATACTAACGAGAATTCCACTCCCCTCCCGTCTCTCTTCCCTCCTCCTAGAACAGCTTACCAGCATCTATTTCTTCGGTCCATATACCCTTCGACATCACATAAAATGACACACCGCGCCAAGCTCACCCAAACCGGACAACCACCGGGCCAAAAATCTCCAACCCCCGTACTGCCAAACCAAAGCTTCCCCCGGAAACCCTAGACAGGCCGACGCTAACGTCAGACTGGAGGGACCGAGGCCGTCCATGCCCCCTCCTTCCTTCCATCCTTCCCCCAGAGAATCCGTCACTCTGTGTCCGAGAGCTTCGTCAGCTCCAGCCCGTTGCCTGCCGCATTCCCGCCCGTCCTACATGCAGCCCACGAGGGCGTCGGATGCCTATAGCTTCAAGACAAGCCTCAACCCAAGGTATATAATGGAATCACCTCTCCAATCCAGACACATACGACCACACCCATCAGAGAATTCGGGATCCCGTCCGCTCTCCCATAGACAAGCTGATGAGGGCCAGATCAGTAGTTGAGTCGGTGACGATCAGCGAATACCTGGTGTTGTATGTTTTTTTCTTTCGTATACATTTTGTTCTGTGCTAGGTAATACTTGTGATTATTTGCCTGGAGGGGGACGGTAAGGCTAGGCCGGCCGGCTTGCACTGATTTCTCGTGTATGAATGGCAAGATCAAGAGGGAAGCATTCAGTTGTCGCCATCTCACGGAAACATCGACTGGTTTAACAGACTTTGCTTTTTGTGACCTTGACGCCCTTGGTTTTACATGTATACAGTTTATCCGTACACTTTCCGTGGTTTCGAACCCCCCGATCGAACGCCAGACCCATGCCATGCCATGCCATGCTCACGCCGATTTGCTTCCGTGGCATTCTCCTGTTGAATTTTCACGCACTCTCTACTTTCTCTCCCTCTTTCTCCAAAGTCAGAGAGCCCCGAAGACCACTTGCTGTCCGCTTCGCTCCATTTTCCTTGGGTATTCATTTGGGTTTCCGCGACTGTCATCATCTATCCTCGCAAAACCATTCCGCTTTCAATGCCGTCTTTCAACGGTCTATGTAGTCGCTTGAGGTCAGCCTTGACCGCGGTCATCCTATGTTGTGATAGCCGTCGTGTTGTTCGTCGCTGGTGCTGATCCAGCCTCTGCAGCTGCCTTGGCCGATTCTAGCCAGGTAGGTCGGAACTTAACCAAGTATTTCGCCGCCAAAGGTCGCGCGTCCTCGTCTGTATAAAATATTAGTATCATGAACAACGCGCGCAGTGAATGGCAGCACATACATTCTGTCCAGATATCTTGCACCGTATCCAGAGCCAGGTCTTTGGCCGGCGGCCGCATCATGACCAGGTACAATAGACTCGTCAACGCCAGGGGCACAACCAACGGATCCCGGCACATCAACTTCACGCGTGATAAGATGGCAGGGCTGAGTTCGGGGATTTCGCCCAAAAACCGAGTAATGACCTTATCTTGGGCATTGAGGTACTGAGAGAAGCCGTCTATCAACTTCAGAGCCCATTTCTCATAGTGCAGAGGATGGCCTCCATCCTGCTTCTTCTGTAGCTGATCGTTGTACCATTCTTCATGTAGCCATGTGATGGCAACATCGATACGGCGGCGGAAGTCCTCGAGGACGTAGGTATACAGAGACTCCCGAATACTGTCACCGAGAGCTAGACGGCCAGTGGCCTCGTCCTTGACACCGCCCTCCAAGCCGGCCGACGAACGGCTGGCCAAGCGCGTAATAATGGCGATCCATGATTCTCGGTCGTTGGTGCTGGCAGCCAATCGGTTGATGCCAGACTTTGACTTTTTCGCAGGGTCCTCTAACGTCTTGACGAACTGGAAAAGCGACATTACAGAGCCTTGGCCCGCACTGAGTGCCAACTCAGGCGTAAGTGCTGGTGGAGGTGGTAGTCTAAACGTCCTCAGACCGAGATCACCGTCGTCTGGTTTGGTTACAGGGTCACTGTCGAGCTTGTTGAGAATCTGCTCGTTATCCTCGGCGGCGTAGAAATCTGGCTCGTATTCATCGTCGTCCTCTTCTACACCAAGAGGAGCGGTTTCGGGATCGATTTGAGGTGGAGGTTGGGCAGCGAGCACATTGAGTCGTCCTCGGATACCCTGCGAAGAGTTAGCAAAGGTTACGCCCTGCATATATCGTCTCAGACCTACCTCGACGGCTTTCGCGAGTAGTTGGGCGTCTGTCCGAAGGAGCGTGGTGATGCTGATCTTAGCAGCCAGAGCTGTGGGCAATGTGCCCACGTCGAAGGCTTTCAGTCCCTCGCTTCCAGTAAGAGTAAAGACGTCGCCTAGACTGTGAGGGCCTGGCGGTAGTGGCGTGATTTGTATCTGAGGCGTTGTCGCAATTTGAGGTGCCATCCGCTGGCGCTTGGCTTCTATACCCTCTTGTTGCTGCTGTGCCTCGAGGGCACGTTTCCGGCCAGATTCATCAAAGATCTCGTGTCTCATACGCATCATTCTCTCCACGTGCTGTTGAATCCGTTGCGCCATGGGGTTATGAGGATCGCTTCGTTACAATGGTTAGCGATAAAACCAACAGAATGATGCACATGGGACTAAGGATATACCGTTTGGCTAGATGTATCAAGAGCATTCGGGTAGTCTTCTCCATGGACTTAACCATTACACGAGTTCTAGGGGTCATTGGCGAGTTTGCAAGCTTCAACGGGTTGAAGTTGAGAACGGCATTGAGGATCCTGTTGGCAGTGCCCGGGCGACTGCGGATCAAAATGGACAGGCAGTTCAAAGTGGCATCAACGAGCAACACATCACTATCATCATGGTGCTGCGGTTAGCTATCGTCGAACCTTTCTCGCTCTCGCTTGCAATCCTTACCTGCTGTTCTCCTGCAGTATGCTCAGTATCCTGTCCAGCAAACCAGCTCCTTCGGCGTCGAGCGTCCTAGCATCCAACGTCTGGTGGTTTGGCGGGATCTTGTCGAGTGATATGTCGAGAGAATCGCCACGCTAGACCTCAAGTCAGTAACACCACCAATGCACACTCCTGGGTTTATCGTACTCTCGGTTCGTTGGGGTTTGCCGCCGATTGTGCTAGAACAACTCGCTGGGCAAACTTGATACAGCATATCCGCACAGTGGATTCGGCATCATCCCAAATCCGAAGAATCCTCTGCTTTATCGCGACCATCCGTTCCCATGTAAATGTGTCGTACGAGTTGTTGATGCTACCGATCCAATTAGCCTCCGATGCACGCAACGCAGCCAGACCATGCCGAAGAAGTAGATGCGCACGTACATCCATCGCAGCGCAAAGGGATAGATGCTAGCTGCCGTCTGAATAGCGCTTCGCAGGACGTGTGCGTCCTCGTTAGGGGTCTCGACCATCGTCTGTAGAGTGTCCAGCACGAACAGCTGCATCGTCTCCTTCTCGCTTCCGGGGAGGGCTGGCGTCGCGAAGGCCTCGGCGAGGAAGTCGGCGCCCCATCTGCGCAGTTCGACGCCCGCTGTGGGACCGACGATTGGTAGGATGCTCTTGACGACCGTCGGGTAGTATTTAACGTCACCGAGAACGAGCTTTCTGGCGTCGTTTAGTTGGCGAATCTGGTCGCTCACAGACACCTGCGGGGAGGGAGCCGCCATGATTGCAGCAAGCGATGACGAAGACGCTTGGATTCTGAATGATTTTAGGCAGATGGAGTAATAATGTGAAAGTCGATGAAACGTAAAGGTGTTGTTGGATATCGAATCTCGGGCAGGTTGGAAGACAACTTTGGTATCACGAGGGCAGCAGCTGTCGCGACTTGTCGAAATATGGAGAGCTCAAGCTTTTCCAGATCACCATTCTCCAACGCGCCGATAAACATACAGTCGCAATCGTCAAGAGTCGTGTAATTCGTCGAGATGGATGGCGAAAGCGAGATGTGCGATGAGGAAATTTCCCGGCGATTCGTATCGGCTACCCGTCGATGCGATTCCTCTGTTTGCCTTGCTCCAAAAGTCTGATGTATTTCCTGCGGGTGCAAGAAGAGGCAGCAAGCACCTGCCGACGTTGAGGGACCTGCGTGACAAGCGACGCGGGTTATGACGGGGCGTGTCGACGGCTCCTGGCTGTTTTTGGTTAGCGCTTCGGCTGCCCTAGAGCCTTCAGGGAGCTGTGGAACCTCATCGGGCATGGAAGGCACGCACGGTACCTTACCTTTCAGTCACTTCTGTCCACGGACACTGGACTCAGTATCGCTTATTCAGATTAAAAAGAGAACTTTTTACCGTGGTGGTGCGTTCTCAATTGAATGATGGAAATCGGCATTTGTGATGAACAATCGGAAACGCATGCCGTGATGTAATGATCAAGGATGTTTTCAATGCACCTGGATAACCTAGTTACCAGTTGGAGCTTTAAGCTTGAGGTCGCAGGCCTCAAAAGCTACGAGAAAGATGCAGCTTCAAAACCAGCTTCCTATACTCAGGTACAGCGAGTCTAAGCCTCTGTGCTTCCAATGGGGGTGGTTTTGTCTTTTCGTTCTTTCCTCATATATTTGAATATTGATATAGCACACTATTGTAGCATGCGCATTGCTGTTGAGTAACATAGTTTCAAGATCATCGTGACGATCTCAGTTCTATGAAATGTACCTCTTCTTCAACCGGGTCTGGTACCTTGCTTACCTTGAGTGTGAAGATGTCTTTTCTCTCCTGCAAAGGCGGCGACGGAGTGTCTGCCCCCTCCCTTCCAAAAACAACCTGGAAAGCTGCTCCCAGAGAACCCCTGCCCGCCTAAGCTTATCGCGCAAGTCTCTACGTCACTATCAGTTCTGCCGCACTTTCTCCGCCTTATCGATACCAATCAGCGTCGAGGCAATCAATGCCGGGCTGGGACGCGCCTATTGGAATTTCCAGAAGTTCGAACCACGGCGTTTGCGACAAGGGCCCCGAACCGAACATTGAATTTCCCGAATCCGCGGCGCAAACCCACGATCGACCACCCCTCTCCCTTTCCCCCCAAGGGTCCGAACCAACCTCACGAACCCTCGATCACCGAACTCAACGAAAAGTAGAACCTCAGAATCTGGTCACAATGGCGATGTGCGTCAACTCCCCCATCCGTCGCCCGTCCCCTCCACCGCCACCGCCGCCAGAGTGAGCAAGTGGTCTGACAAGCAGGAAACGCCAGCCCCCAAAAGTCCTCCTACTACGATCGCAACCTCCGTCAAGGACCCGCCCTGATCAGAGCGCGCAAGCCCTACCTCGCAAAGAACCTCGCCGTCGGTGCCGGACTGTGGTGCTTCGTCGGCGCAGTGTGTATGTGGCGAACCAACCTTTCCCCCCTTCGCGTGGACAGGCACCTTTGCGGAACCACTAAGCAAGATAGCTGACACAGTTTTTCTTTGGGAAACAAACAGATTGGTACACGATCAAGGCGGTCGGCCAAGATGAGTTTGAAGATGTCAAGGTTCCCGATGCTCCGAGGCAGCCAGCGAAGTCCAACTAGGGCCGTCAGAGAGACGATAGCGACGGCAGAAGGAAACATGTGATGTACGAGTTTAAGCGCAGGATGGGATCCATAATCCCTAGGAAATAAAAATACGGGGAGTGTATCAGTATGCGTGGGAGCATATGCATTGTATAGTATATATCTGCGAGTCTCACTCATCTCGCTCTTTTCGCCTGTGGCATCAATATCAAAGAAAATAAAAACAAATCCCCAATCAATAAGTCTGTGCATCTCTCATCACAGGATTAGACCCGTCCATTCAATGCAAATGCAGCTTCGTAAGACCTGTCCGTTCCTCCCATCTTGTAGACACCCATAAGTTTTGACACCCTCTATACGGGGGGGCCGCCAAAATGAACGTGCCCGTTGAAACAACGCGCCAGTGCAAGCATAACTAGTTTAAGGAAAGAAAAAGGGGCGAGCTGCCCAAGCCGTCGTGGGGTATCATAACAGAGCAGTAAGCCTCGAAAACGCCGTTGGCCGTCCATTGATGCCGTCCTAACTAGCCATCGCCGACACTGGCTCTTGTTTGGGAGCCGTGTTTTTCGCAGCTTTTGATGTGCGGCTGCCTGCGCGCTTCATCTGGGCACTCTGTGTCAAAACATTGGCTGTTCTGACCATCTCGGGAGAGGCAGAAATAAATCGGTTCATTGGCGGCGACGCCTGCGGCACGACATGGCCGTTCGTCACGACTGGTATCGGTTGGTTGTTGGACGGGCCTGCTGCTGCTTTACCTCCCTGCATTGGACTGCTCAGTCGAGCACCGGCTGCTGCAGGTCCTGTGCTGATCTTGTGCGCAATGTGGTTCGGGTTGGCCCAAGGAGTATCTTTGATAAATTGCTCCCCAGCGGGGCCGAGGTTAGATCCGAAAGCGACTGCTTGATAATCCTCAATGGGCTGCATGATTGAACGCTGACGAGGTTTCGTGTTGCGCTGGTAGGAGTCAGTAACATGTTTTCCACCTAAAGAATCCTGCGATTCACTAACCTTCATTTGCTCCAGGTCGTCCTCGATCTCTGAGCCGCTTGCGCCCCTCATAGCCGGCACCGCGGGGAAGCCCTCATGCTTAGCGAGACCGGCCAAAAACGAAACTTCCGAATTGTATGCCACAGCGTTCCTTGTGCGCTGTGCAGGGTTCGTCGGGAAGAGGAGGCCGTAGTCCGGAATGCTATGTGCGCTTCGCCTAGCATTCTGGGTCTCGTACCACTCCTTGTTGAGATCTTCGAGCATCTTCGAGCGCTTTTCCCGAGAGCCTTGGTAGAATTGATTCCAGATCTGGGCGCGGCGGGCCACTGCCAGCCTCTCAAGGGCTTCAACCGAGAGCTCGTATTCTTTTTCAATGTTTCGAAGCCTCTTTTCGAGCCTTTCGTCCAGACATTGCTTCATGTTTAGGTATTCGGGATGTGTCGGCGGCTCGGCTTGCAGTGATTGTTCTTCATGCTCGAGGCGCTCGAGGCGATCCTTGTACAAACTGTGAAAACTGCGTTAGTTGCTGAGACAGCTAATGCTTCTTCTCGGAAAGACTCACCGCTCGCGGAAGACGACAAATTTCTCTTCGAGATCGGTCCATTCCTCAACCGCAGCACGTTTTCTTTCAACTATTGCATTTTGTCAGCAAGGCTTCGAAAGATGAATGGGTCGCAAGCCACCTACATTCTTCGTCATTCCTGGTCGCCTCCGCCTCGTCGTCACCTTCGTGGTCAGCCTGGTCGTCGCCGTGAGGCCCCGAGTCGTCGTCACCGCGACTATCGTCTCGGGCGTCGCCATCGTGCCCTTCGTTCTCGTGGGCCTCGACAGCGTGACCTTTCCTTCTGCTCCCATTGCGGGTAACCTTTTTTGTGATTTGTGAATCCTTGATTGGACTGTGACCATCGCGCGAAGGGCCGCGCTTGCTGTGCGGAAGTTCCAAAACACTTTCCTCGGTCGCTGAGTGATCACCAGGATGTGAGTTTGTGGATGGAGCCTCGTCGTCGTGCATTTCCACGTCATTCTTGTGCTGATCCTGCTCCTGGGGCACGACGGAACCGGTGCGCTTCCTGGCGGGCTGGCCTGGCTCGGATGATTCCGCGACCGGTGACCGCTTCCTTTTCTTGCTATCGGTATTCTCAGGATCGTCTTCGGTGGTTGGGAGCTCGGTCGACTTCTTGGGCTTGGTGGGCGAGCCCAAGTCACCGTGACTAGAGGTCATTGACACGTCGTCGCGGTCGGAAAGACTGTCGTCGTCGCCATCGTCGTGGCCGTCGACAGAAAACGTCTTTTGAAGCTTGCTAGGAGTCCGTTCGTAGACCTGGCCGTCGTTGAACTGATTGACAACGACGTCCTTGTGGCGCTGTGCCTGCGGGGTGTCGTAGAGACGCTCAGTCTCCGCTTCGGTATCATTTGCCTCTGACAGATTGCTGTCAGAGTCGAGCGCCTCGTCATGGTCTGGCCGAGTGTGGTCGAGCTGCATCCCATCAAGAGATTCACCGCCGTCCTTGTCCTCGACGTCGCTCAGCGGGCTGGAGATGTTGCTATCGTCATGATCGAGCGTCGCCTGCCCTGGAGAGAGGGCAGGCGGCGCGGACGCCGTAGCTGCCATTGAAAAATTGAGTTGATACCGCGGTTTGGGATATCAAATCGGGTGGTTTGGAGATTGGTTGCGTCGTGGAGCAGTGCAATTCGGGTAGACGAGTTTTCGTGGGAACGAAGACGGGGCGCGGAGGGACAAGCACCAGCGACAGCGACAGCGGTGGGTTGGAGGAGCGGGCGGGTCGCTGTCGTGAAGAGGGAAGCGAGTGCGTGCTAAAATCAAGGTTTGGAAGAAGGGAGTTGGAGAGAAGCATCAACGCGTGTGACTGTCTGGTCCCGAATGCAGAGGTGGGCGAGCGCAAAGTGGTGGTGTTGTGGTGGGTTTTCGGGGATGGGAGAGAAGCGTTAGTGACCTGCCGCTCCATGAGAGATGCGCTCACCTGCTCCCTCTCTCTCTGTGCTCTGTGCCTTTCTCCGGCCCCCCCAGCGGAACCAGCATCGGTCGGCAGAACCAAGTCTTAGCAACGAGCGAAAGCGGTGAGAGCTGGCACAACAGCGGGCACGGGGCACTTGTTCTCGGCAAATAGCGGTCTTCTGACGTTTTGCACCAATCCACGGTTGTTCCGCTTCTTATCGGCGCACTCCACCTCCGAAATCTCTTATCGCACTGAAGCGCAGGCCAAGTGGTACAGAGAGCTTGATTTTTTTTCTTGTCGCGGCAGCGATCTGGGGCGGATCGGTGCATCTACAGCAGACCCGTTGCAGAACATAGATACCCAGCAAAACAAGTCATATATCTGTCGCAACAATGGGGAAAAGGTGATTCCCCTCTCAATGCCATGGCACATTTTCAAGACTGATTGCTCTGTGAATAGTTCAAAACTTACGGCCTCAAGCAAGGCCATTGACCCCACCCTCGATGCCCTCTTCGCATCCAGTGTAAGTCGTTTTGCGCAAAAGTCGACCAATTAAGCCAAGAAAATTCTAATAAAATTTAGTCAGGACCTGTGAAGGCCCCGGAAAAGTCAAGGTACTCCGAAGCGCCTCCACCGAAGGCGAAGGCCGCTCCAGAGGCTTCCGACGACGATGAGGAACTACCTGATGCCGACGACGAGGAGTTGTCTGAGCTTGGTAGCGATGAAGAGATTGACCTCAAGGATATCGCCGATTCAGAAGAGGAGGAAGTGTCAGAACCAGCTGCAAAGCCTAAGAAGGAGCGTAAGCGCAAGAGAGTAGAGGACGACATCGAGGGCAAATACCTGAGCAAGCTCGCTGAGGCAGAGGAGAAGGAGATCCATGCTGAGAAGCGCAGCAAGAAGGAGTCCAAGGATGCGGAAGAGGACGAAGAGGCTGCCTCAGAAACATCTTCCGAGGGCGATAGCGCAGGTGAAAACGAGGAGGAGGAGGAGGAGGAGGAGGAGGAAGAGGAAGAAGAGGAGTCTGACGATGAAGCCGTCCCCGTCCACGAATCCGTCGCGGCTGAGAGCAAGACCAAGACAAAGGACACGGAGCTCGAGAAGGCGAACCGCACAGTCTTCCTCTCTAACGTCGCCTCCGAAGCCATCGACAACAAGACGGCCAAGCGCACCCTCGAAGCCCACCTCACCAGCGTCCTCGACAAGGATGCCAAGCCCCCGCAAAAGATCGAGTCCATCCGCTTCCGCTCCATCGCCTTCTCCGGCGGCGGCCTCCCCAAGCGCGCAGCCTACATCACAAAGTCCCTCATGAACGAGACGACAAAGTCCGCAAACGCCTACGTCGTCTTCTCCACGCCCGCCGCCGCGCGCAAGGTCTGCGCCGAGCTCAACGGCACCATCGTCCTCGACCGCCACCTGCGCGTCGACAGCGTCGCCCACCCCGCGCCGACGGACCACCGCCGCTGCGTCTTCGTCGGCAACCTCGGCTTCATCGACGACGAGACCATCCTCGCCACCAACGAGGAGGGCGAGACGGTGCAGAAGAAGCGCACCAAAGTGCCGGCCGACATTGAGGAGGGTCTCTGGAGGACGTTTGGCAAGCACGCCGGCAAGGTCGAGAACGTGCGCGTCGTTCGCGATCCCAAGACGAGAGTGGGCAAGGGCTTCGCCTACGTCCAGTTCTACGTAAGTTGCCCTTAAACACTGCAACGTAGCGAGAGAAGAAACATTGCTAACCAAATATCAACAGGACGGTAACCACGTAGAATCAGCCCTCCTCCTAGACGGCAAGAAGTACCCCCCGATGCTCCCCCGCATCATGCGCGTAACCCGCGCAAAGGCCCCTCACAAGACCGCCCTCGCCATGGAGCGCACCAACAAGGCCAGAGCCGCCCAGGCCGACGCCTCACGCGGCGCCCCCGGCAGCACAAAGTACAAGGCTAAGATCACCCCCGAGCAGCAGTCCCTCGCCGGCCGCTCCAGCCGTCTCCTGGGCCGCCAAGGAGCCCGCCGCGAGCAGCGCAGAGGCCGAGAGTTCGAGGACAGGAAGCCGCGCGCCCCCGGCAACGGCTC